CGGGGCTGGTTACACGGTCTGTACCCGCACAGCTGCAGGGAGAACGCAAACAGTGCACTGCTGGAATGCTTAAAAACCACCACAGACAGAGGAACACGTGGGTAAAGAAAAAGAAGTTCATTATTTCAGACAGAGTAACCTCTGAAACAACGAGTTCTCAGCAATTTGTATCAAAACATGGAAAATCGGGGATCTAACAGAAAGGTGAGGGGGTTGTTTTTTTTCTTCCTCTATCATCTCCTTCCATGGGAAGAGAAACAAGAAAACACTGCATATCAGAAAGCTAAAGTAAGGGTATGAAAGGGGATATACCCAAGTGGCAAGTTCATCCTTTTCCCCCACTGGTGCCTTTCTGGAGTTGTCCCCGTTTTAAAATGGGCTTTTGTGCAAGCAAGGCATGTACACGTGGCACAAAATCTTAACTTAGGAAAAAGTGTCCATCTGTGAATGGGCAGAGATGGTAATTTGCAAAACTGACTCTCAAAATACTTTCAATACATTAAATAATCAGCTCAGTCTTTCTGACAGTGTAAAAATATTGAGTCCTTAGTACTTACACATTATTTGTAATTCTGTCAAATGGTCCTTTTATATTCACTGTGGTCAAAACGCAAAGTTAACATCTGTACTTTAAAATGAATGGCTGCAGAGAAGCACCAAAGTATGGAAACATCACCGCCAACCCTATGCTTACTCTAGTTCTCACCTTTTTTCTTTACTGCTACCAAGTTTTTGCTTTATTAAGGAAGAACTCTAATAATTTGGAGAACGTGTGTACTGATGTCATAATGCAAAACAGGAGAAACTTCCTTTCGTAGGGGGATTTGCTGACAGCAGTTGGAAGGTCTGGTTGCATTTTCTAAAACTGTTTCAGCTCAGTACATAACCAGGTAAAATGTAAACCCCACAGAGTGAAAAATGCAGTATTAATACAGGATCCTTTAACACACATCAGCAGCCACAAAAGGCATAATTGAAAGCTTCTGAAGTCAGTAGAAATCACTACTTATTTCAATGACTTATTGGATTAGGTCGTAATTGTTAAGAAGGCTGAAGTCTACAATGTACTAATGACCAACTGAGAACGTGTGTTCAGACTGCAGTATGTGAAGCTTGTGAAAGCAAAGCAAGACTTGTACCATCTACCGCCTTCACCCTAATTTATGGGAACAAATTCCAGCATCTCTAACACAATTCAGTGGCATAACTCAATATGATAATTCAGAAATTTAAGTTTATATGCACTGTACTGATATGAACATAAAATATGAAACCTTATGAACAATCAAAATGATACAGACCACTAAGGAGACACCACAGACACCATTTTAATCAACATGCAACATAAGTAAATTATACCTCTGCAATCAAGATGTATTAGAATATACATTGAGCTCCCTGACATTTGTTTTTGAAAGAGACCTTTGGAACATGTGATCTAACTCTGGCTAGGAAAAATATTCTAAAATCTTTCAATGGGCTGTCTAGTAAATTACTAAAAATCCATATGAAAGCTGATTTTAAACTGTGTTAGTAATCCACTGCTTTGTACATCACCAACTAAGACACAGTATACTTCATACCTACAGAAACATGAACTGGAGTTGAAGCTTTCCATTACTTGCTACAGAGTGCAAGATGTTAACCCACAATGGAGCCTTACTGTATTATTCCAGTTATACTCAGATTCATACTGTAATAAAAATGGAAGTTTCCTAATATTACTCAGCAGAAGATTAGCACTTGAGTCAGAACTTGATATGGAAATCTGGATCTTCACACTACTAGAGATAATCATACTTTGTATTACTGAGGGCTAAGCCTCTACGGGTTACAGAGGCCCTGTAGAGCCTACCAGTGTTTGGTAGGACTAAGCCCTCAATACATTTCATGCAGATTAATGGCATATTCATTTTTGCTGATGAGCAACATCCTAACACGTATATTGCACCTGACCTGAAAAAAAACCACTCCAACTTTAACTGAATGCAGTTTATACTGGACAACCCAGCATACCTAAAAGGACTGGGGAACGAGGCTGCAGGATCAGCGGTGACATACCTACTCGGTGAACCATTAAAGCTCCAAAGCTCCTGACAAGAGTAATACAACCTGTGGATCACCTACATTACTAGTCCTTCGGCAGAAACAGACTGATCCTGATTCCCAGACAGATGAGAATCAGAAATGCAGTACACGGATCTGCAGAGCTACAGGGAAGAAACTTCTTGTCTACAGGAAGTTTTCCTGCAAAATTTGTCATGGAGATTTTTATGGCTAGGAAGGGAAATACCAGTGGAGATTTGAAATAAGTGTGGCATATTTTTTCAGCAGCATGGACTGAGATAGCAATTATGCCATTAAGCTTTAGGGAGCTTTACATTACAGCCAATCACACGAGATACCACCTGTCACATAGGCTGCAAAAGACAAATCTTTAGAAAAAGCTATGTTTAAAGTGTATCCTATACATAGTCATATCTTACATTATCCCACCTGTACACTGGGAATTTTACTTTCTCTAAGATCTACTAAAACATCCACTGGTGTTAAATACTACAGATTAGGAAGTATATAATCATTTCATAGACAGCTATTTAAAAAACAACTTACTAGAAATTACTGCTTACAAGTGATATTCCTAAATGTCTTATTTCAGACTAAATGCACTCTTTAAATGGTCAGAATCTGCCTTTCCTAGCATAATTAAACTACACACGAGGCAAGGACTGTTTTGTAAGATTCTTCTGCTTGGAAAAAGGATCTGCTGGACAATTCTAAAATGCTATTAACTTTGCAACAATAATCATCCAGACTTGATACATTATTATAAATCTGATGCAAAATTATAAATAATTGAAATACCTTGTTAAAATTTAACATGCCAGAAAGTTTAATTTTACCAAAGTTCACAGAATTTTTTTTACTGAATTTTGCTTATCTTAGCCAGCTTGGAGAAAAGCCAGTTGATTTCCCAAATACATTTAAACACCATGGCTATTAGGATTGTTAAAAACTCACCTTGATACTATGTTACCTAAAAATTCTCCTTAAATTGTCCATAGGACAGACAAACAGAGCAAAGAATTGCATCTGCAGGTTTGGGGCTTCACATGATTACTATCTAGGTATTAAATAACCTGACATACAAGCACGGATCTACAGACACCATTTATACATGCAGAGTGGATCTCACTATGGAATAAAGCAAATTGTGCTGCTGCCCTCAGAATACAGCTGGAGACTACGCTCATTCCTTACTTTGCAGAAACGTGCAGTGAAATTTCCTAGGCTTTCTTGTGCACACCTTAGTTTAGCCAACATGTATACACATCTTTGCAGATTATATAAAGAATGCTGCTTCCTGATATAAAGGATTGATTGCCCTACATTTAGGATGGCTGCATTATATATGAGATGTTACATATTCAGCTTAGGGTGAGCAGTGAGAACAGCAAAAAGAGAAGGTAACAAACAGCCTTAGTAGGACTGCTCCACACAAACTCCAGTGGCTCAATATTTATTTTCATGTCTTAAATTTCAAGCTTTGACATCCAAATACTGCAAACAAACCCCACATCATGTCTAGCAAGATTAAGTTTATTTTTCATGAATGCTTCCACATGCTCAATTAAAAGCATACTTGCTTCACAGAAAGTTTAATTTAAGAGGGGACAGAGGGGAAGGAAAATAGATTGCTCTTAGAAGTTTGGTCCTCCAGGATATACACCTATTGTGACTGACCCGCAGTCACCAGCATAAAGGCCAGCCTGGTGTTAAAGCTTCCACTGAAAAAGAGCTTGCAAAGGAGCAGAAGTTACCATGTCTTGTTATTGACAGCTTACCTCTAACCACAGTCAGCACAGGAACAACAGAATCTGTTAATTTACAAGCCCGCAGACAGAAGGGCAACTCAGCAAGTCATTGCCCCATTTCCCTTCCAAACAGTCCTAGAAAATGCAACCCAGACCTTCTTCTCAGAGCCACATTCTTTATGGCCACAGGGAGACAGATGACAGTAGGGGACACTGAACAGCAAAGCTGGTCTCATCATCCTGCCACCCGGAGTCTGCAACGCGTCCAGCTGCGCTCTGCTAACGTTATGTACGAACTGAACTGCAGACAAACTCCGGACGTGCTAGCAGGCGCTATTTTTGTACTGAGCTAGCAGGTATTCCTGGTTTTAAGCATTTTCTTCAGCTGCTGAGGTATACATACTGTAGAACATAAAAAAACTCATACATTTCCCCAGCTACCACAATCTAAAGCTACACTGGAGTGGTATTTTTATCCAAGCTATCTAACAAAATGCATATAATTCATTCTGTTAAAGTAAAAAAAAGACTTGCACTCTAAGGATCAGGTTCTTTTCCTTCTTGACACTTAAGACTTCTGTGAATCTGGCTGCTGGAAACGGTTTAGCTTCTCTGGATTATTTGATGCCATTTGAGAAAAGTCACGAAAAATGTCCTGATAAATTTCATCTCCTAGGCAGAAAAGAAAAGGGAAATGATTTTAAACATTTGTGATAGTTAACATCACCCACCATTGCACAAATGCCCTAGTGTGCTACCAATTACTGTATAACACTTATTAATGATGGAATGATGCTGATGTGAACTCTTTGTGACTGTTTACGTGCATGCAGGTTCTGTAGAAGCAAATTAAACAAAGCCAAACTATACCTGATATAGTACCTCACAGGCAGCCACACAGAGGAAAGTTCAGAGTTAGAAAGGAAAAATGAAAGCATTTTAAAGCAATGTAAAAAGAAAAGTGTTTATTAGCCATTAAAGAATAAAATCCTTGTTTTTGCAAGGAAGTGCTAACCAAGATTCTCTTCAGAAAGGCAGAATTATGGCATAAATAAAGATTTTCTTGGAAACAGAGGTCAGAAGTCTTACAGCCAGACAGAACTGTCCATGAAAGAAACAATCGGCAAGCAATAGTATAAAAAAACAATCCTAAGTAGAGAAATTATTTTTCATAAGTTTTCTTGGTCTATTACTTCAGCAAATATAAATTTGTACATGCATCACTGAACATTCATTACTTTTTAGTTGTGTCTGTGAGTGATGATACTTTCCTTAAAAATCTTTCATTTGGTTTTTTATCTTCACCCTTTGTGCTTAAACACAACATGACTGCTAGTACATATTCCAAAATGAGGGGTGGCAGCGATTTCCACCAGGCCTGTCTCCCTGCCCCTCCCCGTCTACACAGGAACACACATTCAGGAGTGATTACTTCTTGAGTCATTGCCAAGTCATTCTTCTGCCACTTTATAATGGACATTTTCACATTCTTTCATCTGCTGCAGCATTTTGGGCCTTGAGTTCAGGTTTCATTTTAAGACACTAACCATACCCTAATTGCCTTCAAAGGGAATTAAATGCATAAAACATTTGGTCCGGTCAGGAGCTATGCAGCCATCCAAATTTTACCGTCTTCCCAACACAGATGACCACACAGAACACAAGATCCCACCACTTCTGTTCCTTGCTGACAGCTTGATTAATAGCATGACAAAAACAACTCAAAATCTTTCTCATCATGTACATTGAACACTAAGTTTTGGGTTTGTTTTTTTTTAATACAATTGCACAAGAAAAGTATTATTCCACCACTTTTTTCCCAAAGGGCAGTTTTTAAAAGGATTTCTTTTTGTTTTTAAAAGTTTTTACTACAGTGAAAAGTTACACTGTTTTGTTTCTCCATCTTTTAATGCACATTTCCAATATTAGAACTATTATTCTTTTGGAGATGAGACTCCACTCATTTGAAAACACTTTCAGAAATTATAACTGACCTTCCAGAAATATTTAACGTGCATGGCATGTGGGTTTATATAAAAATGTAATGACACAATTCTTCCCAGACTTTTAAAGATAAATACATTCAATACTGCTCTACTAGGAAAAATTAGTTCTAGGGAAATTCCCTTTTGGTTTTCAGATTTAGTTTCAAGTATGTTCTAGAGGTGAAGCAGGCACAGGACACATCTTATTGTAACAGTTTCTGGTAACTGCTTGCACCGGGAGATAAGCACAGAATGAAGGGAGATGGTAACATTCACTGAAAGAACAGATAGGAAGAGCACAAATTGGGATCAAGCTTGTATGATAAAAGCAATTATGCTTTTAATACAGAAGTGGGTTCCAGTGGTGAACTAGTACTGTAGTTCCCATTGCCATATTTGGTTCTTTCATATTAACTTGAAAGAAAGAACAAAAGCTATTTTTTCCAAGATACATTGTGGCTCTGTGTTTGGCTCTATTACATAACAAAAATATTACATACAAAAATAGACTAAAATAAAGTGCCCCTTTAGTTTGTATGCTGCATTAAAATACTTAATACTGTAAACCTTATAATTATTTTAAAATCCTACTTTAAAATTAAATTCTGGAAATTCCCTTTCCAATCAATGTTTTTCCCTAAGGTGCAGATTTTATGTACAAAAATACTGTAACACAGCTTTACCATGTAACAACAGAGTAACTCAAAAGGCACACATCATACATTCAATAAAAGATAGGAAGAAAAAGTAGCAATACTAATATCAAATAGTTAGCAGACATACTGTAGCACCAGAAGATGAGCACTCAAGTATTATACAAGAAACAGTACAATGGTGCATATGGCTTCTACCACCAGAAATTAAGTTTTTGTGGAACAAGCTAGTTTCAGCTAGTTCCCATTCTAGAAATGCTTTGGAAGACCAACTGTACTTTGCAAAGCAATATATACTTCTCTTAGTAGTTCAAAACAGCCAGGTATATTTAAAATGTAAATGCTGATGCCATTAGCTACATTAGTAATTGTTTATCAACCACATTCCTAAAGCGGAGAAATAGGCAGTTGGCTTCACTCTGAAGACAGCAAACTCGTACGTTGGTATTTACCCTCACATAGCTCCCAGCAAACATACAATCGTCTTGAAAAATCCTTATTTTCTTCTAGAATGATAATATTGGAAAAGAGGAGTTCTAAAATAAGGGCACCACAGAGAATGTAACATGTATATGCAGTGAAAAAGACCTGCCTCCTCTATGACCACACGAAGGTATCACACCTTGCGACAGCAGAGAGAGGTTTTGTGCTTACACTTACACATCCACACGGCCCTCCTAGCAGGCTAGCAGATATTAGCATCTAAAACACTCAAATATTTACTTCAGCTTTTTAAAAGAGACTTCAGCAAGTAAAGAATGAAGGAGAGCACAGGTATGTTATCCAAAGATACAGCAAGATCTGGCTGGGACACTATGCTACAGCTTGTGTCCTGAATTTCACAAACTAATCTAATGACACCCTGCCCCTGATTTTGGGGACGCTCTATCCCTCATAGCAGCTCTACTTCCCACTGTTAATTTCGCCTGTTTACAAGGATCAGACACCATCTGTAAAATATCTGGATCAGATGGTATCAACTGCAGCCTCTAGATTCTACTGTATTACAAACTGATAAGAAGGTAAAGATATTTTCAATTAAAGATTAGCCAGCTTTTTATTTAATCTACTAATTGAAGAATCTGTCTAAAAAAATATTTTAAACAAGATGTCAGGGAAAATATTTTCCCCCTTCTCCAGCTTAAACACATTCATATTTCCATGTAAGTAGTGCCTCTATTTGTTACTATTTCACTAAAAGTGACAAATGTTTAGTAACCGAGGCTTTTTGTACAAACTATAGAAATGCATTTTCTGATTTATAATAATTTTGGATTTGTGACAGGTCTATTAAATGATCTGAAATATTAATTTACTATTTAGCATAAAGCTTTTGAATCAAAGTACCTACCTCTCTTAAAACAAAAGCATTTTACTATTCAAAACTGATGGTTATTTTTTTTACCCTTAAAATAAAAATGAGGAGACTCAAAAATACTTCAGTATTTGTTACCTTCAGCCTTGCAGTGAAGCAGTTTGTATTATATCAGAAAACAGCTTTACATTCAAAATGGCCAAACTGGCAATAGATTTTTTTCACATATGTAGCCTGCTGCGTTTTCTGAGTGGGGAATTCTTCCTCATTTAAGCTCATATTCAAGTATATACTTATAAATTATCTGTTGCTCTGCCAAAGAAAGCTTTTGAACATCTGAGTGTCTACAGTACTTTTGTTAATTTGAATTTCCTATAAGATTTGTTTAAAAATAAACTTGAAAAACACCTGTTCTTAAGGACAAACTTTATGAAAGAAATAAATTTGGTTTATTTAATTAGAGTTCATCTGGGATATTGACATGAAACTCAATGTTGCCCCTTGAATATATTTCAGCCCTGATCTGGTAAAAGACATAAGGACACACAGTCCTTATAAATCAGTGGAACATTCCTAGGGGCTTTATAGGAGTGCACCAAGAGTACTCAGCGCTCAACTTTAAAAATAAGGTTTGCCTTTCACTACTGCCAGGCACAGTGGTGTGTTTTTAGCTGTCTAACCTGACGAGCAAGTGTGCCTTCATTATTGATATTTGCATGAGATTAAACTAGGTTCCTAGGAAGCATACCATACAAGAAGAAATGGCTTGCATAAATATCACACCAGAACATAGTGTAAAGTGGGACTGAGTGACTGAGGATAAAGTTGCACATATTAATTAAATTAATTTGTTACTTTCTTGGAGCAGTTGGCTCAAATGTCTGCCAAGTTTTTTTATCAAATTGTAAGATACTACGCATACAAAAATATCATAGAATCATAGAATGGTTTGGATTGGAAGGGACCTTAAAGATCATCTTGTTCCAACCCCCCTGCCATCAGCAGGGACACCTTCCACTAGACCAGGTTGCTCAAAGCCTCATCCAGCCTGGCCTTAAACACTTCCAGGGAGGGAGCATCCACAGCTTCTCTGGGCAACCTGTTCCAGTGTCTGACCACCCTCACAGTGAAGAACTTCTTCCTAATATCTAATCTAAACATCCCCTCTTTCAGCTTAAACCCATTTTCCCTTGTTTTGTTTCTTATTTTTATCTTAACAAATAAAAATACTTTAAAATAAAATCTGAGGAAATAATGTCTGTCTGGAGTTATTTTGAAGTATTTGATATATGTTTTTACATTGGTGTACAAGCATTTTTACTTAAAAAAGGAAAAAAAGGACCATTCCACAGGAAGGAGAATGGTATCATGTAATAAGATAAACTCAACTGTCTCTGAGCAACCTGGGTCAGAAGGTCACTGTTAAATAACGTCAGGTAAATCCTAACACTACATGAAATTCAATGGGACATCAATAGGAGAAAACTGTGGACAACTACCAGCAAAACAGGTTGGTAATGGCTGTACTAACATACACTACTGTAATAATGTACTTTAAACACTCTCCTCTTACGTCCCCTAAATACTCTGACAAAGTCACACCAGTGAATTTCAATGCAGCTTTAACATGTGTCGGTTGTTTATAAAAAAAATTATTGTATGAAGCTAACTTAAATTTCCCTCAGATCCTAAGAATCTAATTGTAAACTGATAAATTCCTGAATACACTTCTTATACTGCATTTCAGTATGGTTATTAGTGGAGTATTGACCTGGCTGTCCATAGAGTCCTTCCGATTCACGCATTTCTTCATTCATCCTTGCTAAACGTAACCTGTGATTTGGAAACAAAAAGAACAATGTCATCTTAAAAGTACTAAAAAAAAAGACTGCGATTCAAGACCTAAAATGCACTCCTGAACCTCACACCAGTGAGGTCCTCTATAGATAGTGCACTCCTGATTTTTCTTTTGCTCTCTCTGCTTTTCTGTAAAGGAATTTTGACATTTCTTATATTTGTAACTTGAAACAGAATAGGAAAATCTAGTTAAAAACAGAACACAGAACTTACAATGTTACAATATCTGCATTTGCAGCTTCTACTGCTATACTCAATGGATCTTTCCCATCTTCATCAGTGGCATGTTGGTTTGCTCCTCGTTTTAGGAATAAACACACTTGTCTGTTTAGAAAAAGCATTTAAGAATAATTTTCACAACAATAAAGGGAAAAAGCAAATAAATTCAAGCTGGATCAACATATTTGGCTTAAATCACCAAAAGTCTCTTGAACATATAATATCAAAACACTGCTATTCATCAAGAACAACTAAGATTTTAACACAGCAGTGAGCAAAACCTTTGTTTAATCCACATTAGAAAGACAGCCTAAGTCAAATCACACTAGTGCAGCAAGGAGTTGAACCCTTCAGAAGGGAGACTGTACCTTCCTGTAACATACTAGCTTGTAGAAACAAAAAACCTCATCCCTTTTACCATGACAGACAAGAACCACCGAGCAGGATGAATCAATACAGGAAAGAACACAGTTGACAGGTGCCAGATTTACCCAATAGAAACTGCTCTAATTTTTCTAATTCTTCATCTCTATATAAAGAGCATACTGGCTAAGCTTAAGGCTTAAACTGTCCCAGGCTGTCAACTCACACTCTATTTAAAATTCATGCATGCAAAGAGTTTGGGCACCACCAACCATATTATTTTGTCCTCACTTGAACTGAGCTGGTACGTGGTTTCAGTTAAAAGCTAGGATTCCAACACTCAAGATATAATGCAGTAAATTTTGAAATGAGATACACTCAGTGCAACACACACAGGTGGGATGAGTCAGAAAAAGCCTTGGCCCTCACACACCACTATTTTTCCTACTTGTATTATATTTCTTAAGAAAATAAGAAAAATCTCATGAGTCTTCACCAAAAGTTCGTGCTATTTCAAAGCATTATTAAAGACATGTTTTTACAAAATGGATCAAAGTGTGTTGATAAATGTGTGTTTTGCTAGTGGCTGAGACTGCCAATTCTAAATGTGATTTCCTCTCTCACCACAAAAGTTTAAGAAAAGCCTGTATTACCTGAAATATATTAAAATGACAGAATTTTAAGGGAAATAAAGAAGATTCACATTAACAACTATACTAAATGATGGCCATTTACAAATTCTGGAGCACTGAGTTACCCAGTATGTCCCAGAACCGTGGCATGGTGCAAGGGTCCTCTTCCTTTCATGTCCCTGATATTCACATTGGCCCCGTTCTGCAGCAAGAATTCACAAGTAACCAACGAACCCTATGGAATAACAGGAAAGAAACAATTCAGCACCAGATCTCTAGAATAAGAGCCAAGCCTGTTCTGCCTTCTCACCACTGGGTCATGTGGCAAAGGAAACAGAAGGGATTTGCTTCCATTTCAATTTAAACACTACTAGGTTATATAATTCCAAACAAAGCATTTACAGGAAAAAAATATGCAGAAACAACTTTGAGAGAACATTGTAAAGACAACTTCAGCATCACATCATCATTTATTAGCAAAGCAAGCAGCTCAAAAGGACCAGTGACACAGAAATGTCCCTATTATTCCCCTTCCCCTCGTCCCGCAGCAGTCGGTCCTGTATATCACATACCCCTTGCACTGCCTGAATGAGTGGTGTTGCTTTGTTTTCTTCTACGTTGACCCAGTTTACTTCAGCTCCATGAGCCAATGCTTCTGCCATATCAGGAAGATTCTTCTCAAAGGCAGCTCGATACAGCTGCAGTCCTGGACTAGGCTGTTTGGAGTCACAGAACACAGAAGACTCTTGCTTGTCTCCTTCTGAAAAGAAAAAAAAAATTGCTTACTTAAACCTGTTTTTATAAGGTATGTCCTGGAATTCTGACCGAAAATGTCATTTCTCCAGCATAAGGTAGCTCAGGTTTTGTAGCCTGCTATGCATTGTCGTCCCATTCTGCCAGAAGTCACAGATACCTTTAACTTGTTCCAGCATTCAGGCATGGCCACTTCACAGAATTATTACTGCCCAGAAAACATTCTCTCCATATTACTGGCACATGTGTACATCCTTCAATCTGCCTATTCCATGTAATTTCTAAGAACTGATTTTAGGGTAGAAGTATGTTTTATCCTATACTGCAAGATAAGAATAAAACTAATTTCCTGCAGAGATGGATTCATACAAATACGTATCTGCAACAGCTTGATAAACCTGAATATGAGGCTAATACTGTTCTGACCTAATTTTTGTTAAGAGATACCATTGTCATTTACCAATGACTTGCTGTGGCTATGATTTTTTTGGACTAAAGCATAATCTTTCTTTTCATCTCAGTAAGTGTTATACAGAGTGAAGTCTGGGAGATAAAGACATTATTATATTTAAGCTTTCATGAGTTACAGCATCATAAGTGTTGCTACCATGCAGTCAAAGAAAGGATCCAAGCCACATGCTGCCTGCCTACAAAGCACAGCTGTGAACTACTAGATTTAAAACATACCTCAGAAGAGTGCTTTGATGTAGAAGAGTAAGTTGGCTTTATAAATAAATGTTTTGGACATTTTGACAAGCCATACTCACTATATCTGTCAGCACAGGATGCTAATATTAGACAGCAAATAATTTCACCAATCAATTTATAAAAGTTTGAGTAAAGAGGGGGTAATGTTTAAAGACATGGTCAATCCACATAAGTAAAAAACAGAAAAATGAAGCAAGAATGCTCAAGTAACATAAAGTCTATTATCTGCTACTTAATAGGAATTGCATTTCCAAAGACTTAACTATTTATAGAAGGATTATGCATTTCTGTGGAGACTTGTCTTTATCAAAATTCAGCATTGCTCTATCTGATAAAAACCAAAGTTCTGTCTCAGTATCACCTAACTGGAAAAAACAGAATTCTCTGAAATCATTTAGAAGGATGCAATGTCATTCTTGCTACCAAGCCTAGAGGAGAGAAAGGTCACTCAAGCAATTATTATCCATGTTGAAAGTGTTTCAGTCCACCAGGATAAGAGAGACATGAAGTGTATCATCAGGTACTACCTCTTTGGTAAGAACACGCTACCAAGAAGTAGCGATTAAATTTTCATCTTAAAGTGCAAAGCTTAACGCACCTGGTTCATACAAACTGTTGGTTGATATAGTAGAGGCAAGGTGTTCTCTGCTGTCATCAGCACTCTGCTGGATCCCACTGTCAATGCTTCGTACTGTTTTGAGGAGAAACTGTAATTACTATGCAGACCATAAGTTACCTACTCTTCACAGATACCATGATAATAAAGCAAGCTCTTATACTTGGTCCTGAATACTATTTTTTTTTTAAATGACTAGTAATTATTCAGTATTCTTATTGCATCCATGGAAAAATATGAAGTCACATATTGCAACCATAACATTTTACAATAATAATAAATGTCAAAGATTATTAGAAAGGAAAATATCAGGATAAGTAAAAAAGCTTAAATTATTTCATGAGAACACTAAGCAATGCAGTAGCCTGGAAACAATGGATTCAAGGCAGGGAGATGGGCATGACACACAATGGATCACTAGTGCAAAACCAGAACACGCCATAGCTGTAGTACTTACTACTACGTAGTTTTGAAGAGGTATCAAAGTAGGAGAAGAGTGAATCTAGTTCATCAGGACAGAACAGAGACTCCCGCCTCGCCTCGTCGCTACTTACAGCAACCGCTGGGACATGCAAGTTAGCAAAGCACAAAGCAGGCAGTAAGGAAGGGATAGGGCAGGAAAGAACGTTATTGGAAAAATTAAGAAGGATGAAAATACGGAGGAAAGAAAGTGGTTAATATGTTTCTGAATGATAAGCATTCCACTCCAAATTCTTCCCCACCTAAAACTGCACATCTCTGAACAAGTCTTTTCTCCCCTGCACTTCTGAACTAGGCTATGACCCATTAAAAGACAGGTTCTGATTTCTCTGCCTGAGGTAGGAAATCAAGTAATACAAAAATACATAACTTTGCAAAGAACACGTGTGATACAGTGAAGAAGTGTGCAAATACCTTTTTGGGATGCTGCACCTTGTTCCCCTGCCAAAAGGGATTTTTCAGGGCCACTGTGCCTTTTCTCTTCCCGACTTTGAGGCAAAACTTTTGTTCCAGATTCAAGCGGAGATACTGATGCAGGCTGCTTCTCTACAAACTTTCTTTCCACATATTTTGCCCTGATGTATGCCTCCTTTTCCTGCCTGTCATATACAAAATCCCTGGAGTTAGTATTTTAATATTTTCATTAATTAAAAGAACATCCATTTCATACTAAAGCCAGTAACAAAAATGGTAGTTTGGCACTGCACATAAGACACCCCTATGACACATTTTCAGAAATATGAAGAGGACACTGTCTAACTCTTTCTGGATTCTTGTTTAAATTTTGCATAACGCTCACAAGAAAGTAATTTTGTTAAGTTCAAATATGTATATGTTCTTTCAGGCAGAGACTTTGGAAAGTGGTATGTGGAAGACATAAGCATTAGCTACCGTATGTGACTTGGAATAGAATAGGTTCCTTGGAAGGCACCTACAATGGTCACCTAGTCCAACTACCACTTCTTGGTATTAATCCTTTATACATGTTTTATGTTGTTAATAACCAATTAATATAGCATTAATATTTAGCTTCTTAGGTAAATATAAATTACAACATTTGTTAAAGGAACAGAGATTGCACAAGATAACCATAATAACAAGCCTGAGGTAGGCACAGCCACCAGTTCCATAATGCATACTGAAATATTTTTCCTTGTAACCCGGGGTTATCATCTTAAGACACACACACCAGTTGTGACAAACTGACGAAAGGGGCTATAAAAGTATTACTGCTGGAACTGCTGAAAAGCAGTTACCAGTAGAAGGAACATCTAGCAAATCTCCTATATTATTTATATTATTATCATTACCTCCAAATTGCCAACACCTTATAAAACACTGCTTTCTATACCATAAAAGTGCCTGACAGCAAGCAGCACAGAACTGGAAAGCTGGAAAGAAAAGAAGTTTTAAAAGGCATCTTATACAACAAAATAAAACATTAAGAAACTACCTTCAAACACAAATTAGCATTGGAGAAATGGAAGACAGCAGTACAATCATTGCTGTAAAGCAGCAGAGCTCATGTACAGTGTAGGCAGAAAGAAAAGAGCATTCTGGGAATCAGTGAACAAAAGTCAAACTCAAGAACAAAGTCACTGTAAACAAAAGGCACAGCCACAGGCTCCTTCCAGGAGCACTCACAGACCAAGTACAGCTGGCTGAGATGGTAGACAGGAAACAAAATCAACATGCTCACGTTGATGAGACAGAGCAGGATGCTACAGAGCTATCATCAAAAGGAGGGAGTGAGATCAGAAAGAGAGCAAGTGGACAAGAGTAGCTAAAAGGGACCAGCAGAAGGAATACTCAATAAAGAGAGTGCGAAAAGGGGGAGAAGAAAATATACTGGTGATATGGGGAAATGAAGAGTAAATCAAAGGACTGTTACACAGTTAAGAGGCAGCATCTTTTAAAGCTGGAGGCTGAAAGAAGCAACCAGAAAAGGAAGAGGCACTGCTAGTAAATGACTACCTTTGGCTTCCAGGTTGTGGCTTCTTTACTCCCACTTTTTCCAGCTTCGCTTCATATATTCTATTTATAACATCATTTCCCAATTCACACATAAGCTATGAAGCAAAATAAATAAATTCAAATACATTTGCAAAAGGTTTTGTCTACCTATTTAGTTGTTTTTAACCTCAATCGGTCTATTTTTACAACTTAGTATTTTCACTGGTAAAAGTACATTTACAGAAATAAACATGGGTTTGTATCATGATAATGAAACTATCGGTGAATAGTGAGACTCAATTGCAGGTAAGATAGTAAAAAAAAAAATATAGTCACTCCTTTAAAGTGCCATTCCCTTCTGAAAAGGACTGCAAAAATGACCATCTGTCATTCAATAACCTTTTTTGTGCAATCAGAATGACATCTGCAAGCCTCATTTACAAAAGTATTCCCTTCCTAGAGTAGTTTTGCCAGTAGCTATTCTTATCCCATCAGCAAGAGACAATTCAATCAAGTCCATTCCATCTTGTCCAACAGACATTTTTGCTAAACCATAATCTGTTATGTCTATAGGAAAAGATTAGAAACAGAAAACAGCCTGCAGATACTACTTTAAGGTGTATTTAGCCCACAAGTCCAATTTACAGCAATGAACAGACTTCATGCTTCTAATATCAGGTAGAATATTCAGCTCTAGTATTTACATAAACAGGACAAGGGGTGTAGTTTTTCGAGTTGTTTGTTTCCTCAGCATGAATACATTGATATTAAAATTATTTCAGGTCAAACCACAAGAGAAACAGCCCTACTCACACTGTCTTTTGATTGTTTAGAATAGAGAAGCAGTATTTAAGTACCAGAACATCACAGCTAGAAACAAATGCTTCGCATCAGTTATTCAGCTGCACACATGCATCCATGCACGAGCTCCTATTTTGGTATTTCAGTGTCACATGATTTTCATAACCATGTTTCAAGCTACAATTTTGGCACACAAATAGCACGTGAGCAGTTGCGTGAATGTTCTCCTATAAGCCATCAGGAGTACAAAATCAAGATATCACTGTAAGAGTTGGCATCTGAATTTCCAAGCATGATCAGCATGATGTATGCTATACAGCGCTTCCAAAGTTTTTACAGACCAATAATATAGTGGGCTGAAAGAGATTTTCATTTTTATATATTGAAAGTATCAGATTAAACTTACTACTCAAAGTGCATTTGTGAAACCGAAAGCAGCGTGTTGTTCTGACTCGCCAGTTTGTGACAAGAATGACTACGGCTACTGCATGTATTATAAGAAAGTGTGAATTAAAGAAAACCTACACACAACCATAAGCAATTTGGAGTAGAAAATTTAAGACATACGCTGGGTACAAATGCAAGTGCTTCCTGCACTGAGCTTTCTGATGCAGCGGCTTTAAAACAACAATCTAAGTAAGTATGAAATCAAAACTTGTTTCAAAAATATCATACCTTTAGAAGTTCAGGTTCCCATGAATCCAGTGTTAAAGATCTTACTTTTGAAAAGTGGACTCCCAAGCTCCTAAACAGCATGAAAAAAAATATTAACCTGTAACTGCACGTTGTGTCTTACCTCAGACAGCTTTACCATTAATTTACACAAATAAAGCAGTTCCCTTAATTCTGTTAACAGAGGTCTCTAACTTTGCTTCAATATACATTTGAAGAGACAAACCTAATTAAGTCAATGCATAAATAAAATAGTTCTGAAGAGCTGCCCAACCTGTGAATGCCAGAGCACTCAATGCACAACGTGATTCCCAAGTTGATACTGGCCCAGCGAGGATCTGCCAAACCACAATCACAGCAGGCAGCGTTACCAGGAATACACTGAACTCGCTGTAGAGCACTTTCTCCCTTCAACAACTTCTCTTTTGTCTCACTGCCAGATTCTAGGCTTCCAGTAGAAGGGGATGATTTCTTTTCCTGTTTCTAAAATAAATAAATAAAAACAAAAGATACACACTAAATTAAAGAAACAAAAGTCCTACAGATACTGACAGTGCACCAGAACCCTAGAAAAGGAACTTCTGCATTTAAGGCCAAGGGAAATCATAGAAATGAAAAAATGTTTAGTTTTTTAGCCTTTCAGAAGAAATACAGAACTGAATATAGGGCTACCCAATAATTCTATGAATTTTAATCACACACACAAAAAAATCTCATCGAAACATATAGGCCCAAGTAACATTAGTAAGATGGAGTGAAAGATAGATTAGATATAAATTATAGTTTTTAAAATGTAATTGCATTTCCACTGGAAGATAAACAACAGATTCTTTTTTCCCCTCCCCTCTCATAAAAAGAGGTCTTCTCTATTTTTAATTTTCAGGATCTAAAGAGAGGTTGTTTGGTTGGTTCTTAAACTCACCTCAGATTCATCCCCTTTCTCTCTGTAAGCTGTAGCAATACTGGTCTGGACAGCTTTAATCCATGCCTGTCGCAGCTTTTCCGAGTCAGCCTGAAGCATGCAGCTTCTGTGACAAACACACACACACCCGGATTCAGAGAGACTGGCCAAGCAGCTGTTCTCAAACAACACATTGTTCAATAAAACACAGGCTCTTGAGAGAGTTTAGTGCTCTCACCACAAGTATATTGTTTAGTAGGCATCATCTAATAAACTTATTTTGAGATAACAAAGCAGCTGAATCTATGAAAACTCCTTGTTTCAAAACTAGTTGTGGGTAATGCTAAAACATATAGATGAGCCTTTTAAAATAACCCAGAGAATGGCTTAGCTTCCTATTCCCTTTCCTTTCTTATTCCAAATTTTTCTTTTTTATACCCTCACATACAATTTCCCCCCATGACTAATTACACAAGATACAGGTATCAGTCCTTGAAAACACGGGTCATCCACAGAGATCAAGATAAAATTATTTTAAAGCTCTCTGACAAAAAATGAACTACTTTTCATACCATGAAGTATAAAACTGATCCAACAATTAGGCACTGAAAAAGTATAGGCAAGCAAGAGCAAAATGCATGTTAAAAGCAAACCGCAACTGAGAATGCAAACATTAGGACAACAATCTATTAACAAGAGAAATCTAAGTAGGAGTGGGGATTATAGCTAACACCCACACCTAAAAGCAGGTTGACCTTATATAAAAAAATTAAATATGGTCACATCTCAAAATTATTAATGAAAAATCCACGTCCTGTGCCCTGGCTGCAGCAGAACTGCCACACACCTCCCAATATAACCAATACACTGCGCTGCTAGCATTGAAACTACATATTTGGTAGTTTCATTTAGCGCATTCTGAAATGTAACTTAACACTACTGAGATGACAACTTCTTAATATGTTTCTCTCTCATTACACCAATCAGAAATTTGGAGAAAGAGATCTATTTTTTACATTACTAAGCAGCTTGATAGTATCAGCCACAACTAAGCCACAACAGCTCCACAATCACAATCCATTTATGCATAAAGCACAAGAATGTATGTTTACTTTAGTGCTAAAAGTAAACTAAATACCAGGAACACTTCTCACAGCATCACTTACTCTTAGCCAAAATTTCAGAACATAGAATTTTTCAGATACTTTTCCAAGAGAAAATGTTATCCCAAGAGAAATGTTAATCTTGCATTTCAAGACAACTGAATGTAACATTTTTTTTATTTTTAAATAAACATGCTCCATCACTTCTCCTTACTTTGTTGGAGAAACCACCTCAAAACAGAAGCGTCTTTCTATGTCCTCACAGTGTTTAACTGTGCAAAGCCGCAAGTCTTCAACAACCACTGTGGGATTATCCTAAGAGACAAAAATTAACAAAATGAGTTACAGAGGAAAGATAATACAGTTGCTAATAATCCCAAATGATTTCTAATTTAATTCTATATTCTACTTGCTTGTTTACACAAATTTCTCCTCCAAAAATAAAATTTTAAATAGGTGGAATCAGAGATACTTAGCAGGAAATATTTAGATAAATTTTAACGCTTTGTTATATTTTATGCAAGTTTAATACAAATTTTGGAGAACTCATTTGTACCTACAATCCAATCTACTAATCAATCAACACCTTAAATTTAAACAACAGTATTCAAGGGTGTTCAGAGATATTTTCTAAGAGATTCAATTAGCTCACAACTAAATCAGAAAGACTATACCTAAATTAGCAGTACTGTGAGTGCCAAGTACAAAAACCAGAAGCAGGATGCAGTGGCTTTGAAAATTTGATTAAATTCATTAACAATTCTATTCTAAACAAAAGGCATTTTAAAGGTGTGTTTTTAAAAACATTAAAATGGAATTGGAATTCACAAACACAAAATGCCCTCCTCAAATGCGCTCACACAAACTCAACTGTTTGCTTCCTTTCCAACCACAAAAATGAAGACCCCTGATTCGATAGCACCAGATAACAAGGAACAGTCTCTGAACCTGGTTTGTTAACACTGAAGAGAAATTAATTGTCATAAACTCTACCCTGTTTTTTTCCCCCTTCTCCATACAGTTCTCTGTTGCAGATACAGCTCGTGGTGCAAAAGCAGATTCCAGAACGGTACAAAAAGGAGCAGGGGCTCAAATGTTGATTGCAAAGGCTTTTACAGCTTGGGGCAGGGCTGCAAAGCTGCTGTTACACAACAGCCGTACTTTCCTACCACCAAAAAGACCCATCCTGACTGCGGAACCACCTCACATTTTCAATATGAAATACATACACACAGCACCCCTGACTGTTCAATAACAAATGCTTTCATGCCTTTTTTCCCCCCTCTCTCCCCAACTGCTAAATGGGGTATGTGAATCCAGTAAGAGTTAAACACCACAGCTCAAGGAACAGCACAGAACACTTCGCTGCCACCAACTGTGTACAAGCCTTTTGAGACCAACAACTTTTAAGGTTCTTCCATAAACCTTCTCTGCAACAAGGTAACAACACCCACAGCAAATAAAGTCACTGGGCAGGAATAAAAAAAAATCTCCAAGTGTAGCTATTAGTCTCATTTTACAAAGGGAGAAACTAATTTAGAAAATACAGTAGGTTGTTCCAGACCACACAGGATGCCAGTGTCAGCACTATTTCTTTTTCTCCTGATCAATCAGAAAAACCATCCCACTCCCCCCAGACTATCCCTAGCCAGTTTTTAGTACCTACCTTAAATTTCTTCTGGTACACAAGTTGGTTATTTTGTATTGAGAACCAGCGCCTATTCAAATAAAGAGACATCCAGACAATACATAACTGTACGGTGCTTATTTGACCAAAATGCACTAACATACAGTCTACAGAGAGACTGCATAAAAGAACTCACAAAAGTAATGCTGCAGTCAATTCTGGCAAGTATTTAGTGAGAATAATAGTGAGAAAAAAGGGAAAGCAGAGACAAAACAGAAAAGAAAGCAAGGTTCAAATAATTTGAATCCTAAACAAACACATTCATGTTATGACAACATTAGTTAAGCTATCACACAACACGTTTTCATTTCAAAGAACATTTACTTCTGTATTTTAGCAGCAAACTACAACTTTAACTTTGAACACAAATTCAGAGAGTTTGAATAACAAAAATACTTAAACTACACAAACTACTCACTCCTGAAATATTTCTGAGAGTGGAACTAAGAAATAACTTAGCAAGGCACTAAAAATACTACATTGTTGCTACCCCATGTAGGTTTAATGTCTCTCTATCACTTGGCATTTCTTAAAATTTTAGATGCTGAAATGGAAACATGGCACACAAAAACAAAGCAAAACCAAGGAAAACCTTTTAACTACAATCCTAACTTAAGCCTCAGCTTTGTAGGAAAATATCAAATAAAGATTTAACGAAAGCATCCTATAAAATTCAAAAGATAATGTAACACTTGAAAACCCCTCTGAACTGTATCCTTCCTTGTCAAACTTGCTGTACAAATAGGATGCAATTCACAGAGAAGGAAAGGTCATTCATATTTTGGAAAAAAAATATATAGGTGCCTCAGATCTAACAGTGTTTTATCAGACCATTGAATACTGAAAATCAGCAAATATAACCATCCCTTTCTAGCTCTTCAGGGGATGCACAAAATAAAAGCTAACCAATCATCACTGGTATTGAACTGTCAAAAATGAAGGGAATATTAAAAAAATAATTCAGTCCTGCAGTGAAATTTACACTTTTTTTGTTTTGTTCAGGCTTATAATGTGAACCTGTGTTCATCACAGCATCATTCCTCCATTATCTCAAATACCCTGCTTATACCACACATTACTGTTTTCAGCACTGCCAATTAGGTTGAATGGTAACAATATACAAAATATTGTATTGCAACATAATCTTGTTATTCTCTACAGGCTGCTGAACTTCAAGCTACAGTTTACTACAATTAGTAACAAGAGGGCTCCATAAGTTTATTCAACAAGCCATTCATGAAGAGAAGCACACAAAGATTGCTAAGAAAAATTAAGATATAAAAAAGTTAGATTCAAATCAGAAAATCTAGTATTTGTTAGAAAAGTTAATACTTAGTAGACAGATGAGATTCTACCTTTTAACAATATTTTCAAATGTTGTGCAAATATGTTTAATTTAAAAAGCAACAACAGGACCCTCCTTTAATACTGGATTTCCAATATAATAACAGGCATCTTTTTGGGTTAAGAGAATTGAGCAGAATAATGCAAAAAGTTAACTACTTTTTCAGTTTATTAACAGCAATAGTTTTGTTCACTGCTATTTAAAAGGTATCACCTTCACCATCTATTTAAAAAAAAAAAAAAGCAGATGGAGTAACTAAGCCTCAAATATGAACAAAAGGCAGGTTATTGCTAATATTTAAATAGATAACAAAAAAAGTAGATTGGAAAAGGAAAATAAACTCAGACTTTTAAATGTGCTTTTTTTGAACATAACACCAAACAGAAAAACATGAAAAGCAGTGCTTAAGTGATAAAGGAAAAAAAAAATGCAGCCTTGCCCCAAGATAACATGCAATGGAGCAAATCCCTATTAATGGCCTTAGGTAATGTAAATAGCTTAATTAATGTAATGCTTAATTTCTTCTACAGCTAAATAAGTAAATAAGCTTCAATCTGATCAATTGGATATAAGTGAGCACTCAAGTTGTAAAATTTTGTGTCATCTTTAAAGCCTAGTCTAGAAGTTTTCAAAGTATTCCAGCCCCTTTTTCCTAGTATAGAAATTACATCTGTTTAAGAGAACTCTCCAGTCCAGCCAAAAAGTGTGGGGTTTTTGATATTTTTTAAAGATAAGATCAGAAGATCAACAATTTAGAATGTAGTATAACTTGTAGATACATTTTTGAAGTAGATGCCAATGGAAAATAAAGTTAATACATTTTATTGCATACTTGAAAGAATAAAAGTGGCAGACTCTTCTCCAGCAAGTCAGCACCACAGTAGTTTTATCCAGGCCAAAAATTTTGAGTAATTCTGTATTAACCAAGTATCATCAATAAACTCCACGTATTTCTGTAGGAAACAGACGGCTGGGGGTCTAGAGCAGTAACAGGCAGGAACTTCTGAGCTACAATATATGTACTGAAGGTGCTGTTACAGGGTATACCACATCTTTCCTCTTCTAAGAATTAATGTTCATAAACTTTTAGGCAACATGTGTGCAGTAAGTACTGACCATTATCAAAGTTTTTTTAAATGTGTCATTCTGTCAAAAATAGGAGAGAAGCAGATGAAGAAGAAAACATACTTGGGGAATCTTAAAGTAATTTGCACTGCCTCACTCAGTTGTGCTTAATTATAGTTGTTTGGGTTTAGAAACAGAATGTTTATACCTACACAATTCAAAAGAGTATTTATTAAGTAGGAAATAATACAAAATTAATTGAGAAATATTTTCAATTTCTGAGAACTGAGTAACAGCAAAAAGAAATACAAAATTTAAATTGAGTTTTACATAAAAAATTAATCATGTTTATTGATTCTCAAAAGAAACAGTTTTCTTCACTAGTTGCTATCAGCATGCAAAGAAAATAGTGACTAAGAATGCACAACATTTAAAAGTTACATCTCTGTTTCCAATGCAGTTGATAAGAAAAATCTCACCAACTTCAATTGGAAAAAGTCAAAACACTGATCTTGTACGCTCAGAGTGCTGAAACTTTGCTTTAATTCCTTTTTAGCTAAAACTAGTTCAATCTTTCTAATTATTTTAAAGCTGTTGAGCAGCAGGTATACTGGAATCACAGGCAGAATCCTTCTGTTATTTTCTCAGACTGAGCCACTTACACATCCATTGCAAGTAATCAAAATTAAATGCAGGGTTAATTAAGAGCTTTTTGCGTGCCAAAGAAATATTGGGAAGGTATAAAAGAAGCTGGTTGGTACCTGATGTGATCTGGCTTTTTCCTGTCATGTGAAAAAATGGGGTAGGATTAAAACATAAGAGAAAGGAGGAGAAGGAATGAAAAATGCAAAATGAGCAAAATAAGCAAAGAATTAGCATGATCTGAAAATATAGCAGAATTAAAAAGGAAAACATTTAATGCATCCAACCTAAAAGCTATTCAGAACACACTAGTGTGATAAATGCTTTTCTCCCTACACACATTTATTCACACATACCTTTCTTCACAATACAGACTTATTTTGCATTTGAATTGCTAGGAGCCAAAACAGCTTTCCACCTACTGCTCCACAATAATAAATGCACCTGATTTTGGTTCCTGATACCTTAAGAAAAATTGTGCACAATATCATTTACAAACAGATAGACATACATTCAAAAATAGGTCTCCATACCTGTTACTGTAAGATTTTCCACTATAAAGACATTATTTTGATTCCATTGAAGTATATTATCTGAAATACTCATGTACATTATACACTATCCATTTAGTCACAATAAAAAGAGATTGCAAAATCTCTAGCTCTTTCAACACAGCAACATTGAATTGCAAATAGTTCTTGTGGTTTACTTCGCAACCTGCTCAAGCACTTTGTTTCTCAAGCCAGCATCATGTAGAACTATCTCGAGAACAGGAAACTTGATTCCCAAAAGCCCAAATTACTAAAGTCTTCAGACAATTAAACACAAGCTGACAGCTGTCCCAGGAAGAAACTACATCATCCTAGCAAGAAATTAGCTTGGATTGGAAACAAGTCAAGTTTGCATTCATTAGAACAGATTTGTCCCTCTTCAAAGGGCTGCATTACATGGTTTTGATTTTTTTCCTCCCTCAACAACCAGACTTTTCCCAGGATAATCCACTATGGAGTCCATGGATTCACTGACCAAGACACGCACACAGAAGTATCACAATTATCTAATTTGTTAGCTAGAATCATACTGATGTGTGTCAAACCCAGACAAAATCCACTGTACCATTTCCTTTCCCCTTATGTTTTTCATGCTGGCAAGTATATAGTGGTAACCGCAATGATTCCTGGTGCCTTTAATTCCGTGTTAAAGGAGTACTTAAAAAGGCCTAGAACCATCTGAACACCAACTGATACCAACAGAGAGAAAAGAGAAGCTATTACTTTAAACACATATTGCTACTGACAGTGCAATCACCAGTTTGCAAGGATGACCAGTGCTCTGCTGCAAAAATTGCAGAGCATAAGATAATAAAAAGAGCTCTATATCACAACAAATTAACTTTAAAAGTCAAGAACTGTATCCAACTATACTGAAAATGCTCCAGCATAGATAATATTTCCTTGAAAAAAAGCGTAGACCCTTGGAAATACAAAAGAAATCCTGTTCAGGAAGAAAAATGTCTAAACAACAGTAGAAGATACATCGTTTAAGAGACATTCTGAATTCCCAACAGGACCATCCAAACTAAGCAGAAGTCAATGCACGGGACAGGAACTGTAAGCACGTATCAATTATGTGCTTATCTTTCAGGAAAAAACTTGAGTCCTTCACTGTGTTTCCCTGCTTCCAATGGCTTTATCACTTCCATCTTTGTCCTCTCACACTTATCTTCCCAGCACATACATTCACAGAACTTATTGTATATAATCCTAAGGATTGCTCTGTTTCAACCTCAAAGTAAAGGCCAAAATGTATTTACAGAGCTCTACTGTCCACAACAAAGCAAGCTTTCCATACATGGGACTTCTCCAGACTAAGCTACACTCTTAGAAGAAGGCTTGCAACAACTAGGACAGAAAATAAGGAAAAATGGTTTGGAAGTGTCATCTCTATGTTAATTAACAGTCGTCCAATGTTCTGTGAAAACTGTGGAATCAGTGAATTGCGTAGGTTATAAGTCAGACAAGAATTTAGTTTAAAAAGCAGTATCTTAATAAGTTAGTAAATAAAGGTTCTGAATAATTACCTGTTCCAAGTCTTGAAGGCATTGCTGGCTCGCTTAAATAGATAACCTTCCATAACAATACCATTGGCTGCATCTACATTGTATTCTAGTTTAGTATCATCACTGGAATAATCCTAGTACAAAGGCACAAGACAATAAAAAGACATTGTAGTTTCAAATGAAACTTCAAATATGGGCAGTATAAACGTCAAAAAGAGTAAATGTTTTGGAATAATGTTTTGTTTGCAACACTTCTTAGTCAAGTCATGACTCTCTGCCCCTTACAGTTTTTTTAAAAAGCAGTTTTATGAGATCAGAATGCTGAAGATTTTTACTTTACCTGCACACAATGGGAATTTCTTGCTCAGGTACTGGTGACCTTTACAAGCCAAGGAGAGTGCAAACATTACTAATAGAGCATCTGATGCTTCAACTGGCTGCTCAGACGGTCTTGCATATATTCCAAACAAAGGGGAGATTAAGGTAGAGGAAAGGGGCAATGGGAGTTAGCAGTCAAAACTGAAAAGCAGTTGCAGCCTGTTGCAGACAACTTCACAGACCCAGTCATGCTTTAGCATTTTCTTCAGTTATGTCGTCTTGACAAGTGAGCCAGATCAGAACTTAGAAGACAAGTAACCAAATTAAGATGATGCTATCAGTTATCTCTAAAAGAGTGGTCAGTGTGCTGGCAATGATGACAAGAACTTAGCAGTAATTTTTTCTTTATGACCTCTGACAAAGATACGAAGCTACAAGTATGACAAGGGAATACACATTTCAATCAATCTAGTAAAAAAAATAACAACAGCTAATAATGGTTAATAACAGCTTTACAAGTTTGAGAAAGGTTAACTCCTTCACATCTCCAGCAAAGGCAGAACAGACTAAGTATTAATAAACGTGGTGATTATTTGCTTTCCTATCTCATCTGAAAGAGCATGGACTCTTCTCAGGGAGCTACGGAGCTCAGGTGTTCAGTGAGTGGTAGGCTAACAGTTACTAGGGATGCATGGAAAAGCACAAATGGAATGACATAATTTATCATAAACTGTGTCCAGAGCTCAAAATAATATATATGCTATCATTTAACTTCACTGGTAGTAAAACATATCCCTAAAGTAGACTAGCAACATATGGCTTCTTCCTCTTAACTAGGGCAGAAGAGATATCACTGAAAATTAAGTTTCAGAACAAAAAAACCCAAGTTAAATACTGAGGATGCAGAACATTCAATAACATCACTCTCCCATACCTTCAGCAGGTACTTTTTGTAAACTGCAAACATCAGGTTTGTGTGAAAAGCATGTCTGTAAGGTTCTGCTTTGTACTTTGCTCCTTAGGAATTTGACTATACGTAGGGGAAAAGAGGCTATACAAGAACAAACAAAAAATCGGCTTCAAACCAAAACCATCAGCCCTATGTAACGTTCCAGCCTGCACACAACTTTTCTGCTACACACAATGTTTACCCTTATACATGCAGATGGTTTGGTCCAATCCAAGGTTAATTAAACAAGACAGTGAAGTGGCTACAAACACCAAAACGGGCCCTTTACACTCCCAGGCCAGCACAGCACCAAATTCTATAAAATTCCTCACAGTATTTTCAGCTATTACCAATCTGAATAGATTAACTAAATTTGAAATGTTAAATCAAGATTTTCATTAATTCACTGGCAGATGATTAGTGCAAAAGAGTTCCAAAAGAAAATGGAACTATCACTACCATATACTGATCTGAATAAACATATAAGTGGCAAATACAAGAATCTCAAAAATAAAATTTGTAAATTTATTATTCAGCATTTAATAATTTTGATTTTTCTACCTGTTTTCTAGATCAGGACATGCTGAACATAAAAGACGTAATGCAAGCACAAACAAATATCACAGTACAATTTTAACTTAGTATTTCACAACTCTCATGACATACACAAACATTCTCAAAGTGTTAAAAGCCATTTCTAGTTTTTTTTCCTTATCCTGTCCAAAAAAAAAAAAGAAAAAGGAAAGAAGAAAAAACCCCTATAAGCACAAACTTAGACATGCTGATGTCACATTCTCCCCCTCCCCAAAAAACTGATAAATTACTCTAACTTACCAGCTCCCAAACATAATGAAACCTGCTAAAGATCTGCATCTTCCTGCCTCAGTGATGCCTGCAACTCCTTGTCTAGTGAAAGACAACATACATTCCCTCAGTCTCTTCTGTCCGAACTATGCAATCACATTTTCCTCTAGGTTTGGAGAACTGCTGCAGAAAATGCAAGTCTCTTTTCCAATGAATCTAGATTTACACTTTGAAGACATATACAAGCATGACAGGAAAACTCCTCTGGATTGTTTATCATGCTACACTCTCAGTCCAAATTGTCTAAGACACTGAGCCTTCCTCATGAAGTGGTTTTAGTGTCATTTTTAATGGCTTCCCTGAATTGACTTCCACCTTCACAGAGCAGATAAAGACACAAGAGTATACAGACAAATTTTCCTAACTATACATAGCAGACTACTAACTCAGGGGGAGGGAGTAAAGCTTCCATATGCTTCATCCATAAAACTTCATTGATAAAGTTGTGGTCAGTAAAAAGATGAACAAAAAACCCACATTTTATTTCAATAGTAAGGATAAAAGTAGAAAAAGGAACTAGATAAGCCATGTCTGGTCTTATAGTATTTGCTATTTTATAATTAAAGAATAGGAGAAAAGCAGTCACATAGTTTATTTTTATCTTGGCTTATGGAAAAGTTTAGTGACTCAGGAAAAAAAAAATCAGGGTGTGGAGAGAAATACATCCATATCTTTCCAGTGTCCTGGGTAAGAGAATCACATGTTAATAAACCCAGTCACTTTATGTGATTCAGAATTCTGTATTCCTTAAGCAAACTCGCAGCTGACAAGACTTAATTTTAAACATAATTTGTTTACTAACTAGGTGTCAGTTAGGACTAAAGTACATTTCACCTAATCAGAATGAAGAAAATTAAGCCAGTATTATGGAAGTTACACTGAAGTGCTATATCAGGTTCATCCCACGTGCTATATCTCACATTTCATTCAGATTTGAAGCAAGGAGCATCTATGGCTTCTATTCTGATACATATTTTTCAGAGTTGGCCAGCTGACATAGGGAAGTGTGTTACACAAGTGAAGTGTACAGCGTGCTTTCATGCTTTTTTCTTCTCATTTTTCTTTAAATGTCCACAGGGGATAGCAAACCAGCTGGCAATGGAAAAACAACTTTCATTTCCACAATTGATACTAATCTGGTGGGTCACAGAATATGTACCATTCTCAACAGTGTTTCAGTAAGTGTATTTTCATACGAACTTATCAGCTTACCACACATATCAGATTCATCCCATAGCTTGCGTGTTTTCTGTTGCCCTACATATAATTTTCTTGTTATCTAGACAAACTCCCATACTTTTCAGCAGCAGAGTTTTTGATTTACTTTCAATATGAAGATTGCTAGTGGGTCACGGAAGCTATTCAAGTCATTTTACCAGTAAATCTTAGGGACTGTGAATATCAGCATTTGAACACTGAATATGTATTCAATATGTTTTCTTACTGTAGAGAAACAGAATAAAGTTTTTTAAAAGACAGTAAATGGGGGAGTGCAAGTACCAAAGAAAACACTAATCTGCAAATGACTCCAGGGTATACTAAACAGAAGACACTAATTGTGCAACCCCTCGCTTAGAGAGTTGCTTCCATTCCCATCCCATTGGCAAGAGATGTTTCTCATGCTTAAATTTAAAGTCCCTTGGGGAAGGGCTTAAAGCAACAACAGACAGAGCAAGTACCAGGGTTTACAGTCCAAGACAAAGCGAAAGAAGGCAATATAGTCATTGAGCCATTTCAACTCTCTTGAAACACTGGCACACCTTTGTTTTTGAGACAGGAATTAGTTTGCATTACTTCTCAACAGCAGCTCTGGTTTATGCCTGCATTATGACTGTGGTAGCATCTGGTTTCCTATCACCTTGTTTACTCAAGATGTTAAAAATTTTCAAATCATTCTCACTCCAGATGTTTCCTGAACAGTTTTTTGGATGCAGATTTTTTTTTTTTTTTTAATGAAAAAGGAATTTAAATACAACAACAATTTGAAGTTAATGCAAACATTTTTCCTGTATCATTTCCCTCATTTTAAAACAAGATATAAGCTTTGGCACAAAACCAAGAAGCAAAAATGCTGTTTACAGGTCCAACCAATTTTAAAATTATTTCTTCATTCACCATGTTACTACAGCAATGGGCAGCAAACTGCTCAGAAAACAAGAGTTATACATCTTAAGTGATATTGACACTGTGACAACACTCTCTTGACATGAGTCTTTCCCTATAAAAATATATTGCCAAAAGTTCCCATAATGATAATGGCATTTCTAGATTAATTTACAGTATGCATTGCTCCAGATTAATATGAAAAAAATAATTTCTTACAATAAAAAAAGTTTCCTGCATATTTGTTGAGTAAATAGAACACAAAAGTTAAAACAAACTAAAAAAAAAAAATCGGGCATCAGTTCTCTTAAAACAGAAATCAAACTATAGTGGTGACCAAGCCCTTCCATGACTTTTATATTAACCTCTCAGACAACAGCCTAATTAAAAAGTATGATGATTGTAAAGAAAAGTGAGATGAGTTATTTAATTAGTGCAATTATTCTGCATGCATATGCACATATATGCAAACACAGGTAGTGGGTGGGTAGGTGTGTGCACATGTGCACTTACCTATACATTTCAGTAAAGGAACTGTTCTTTATCCACACAATGAAGAAAAGGCATCATTCTGAAGCATTAGATTAAAACTTCAGTACATTAAATGCATTTACACCTCACAATATCAACACAAGGAGAAGTTTCAGTAGTTATAAAACATGGAAGGATTTGGTACTGCAAGATTTGGGAACATACACCTAAGAAGCAGACCAGTGGAAAGCAACATGAAAAGCCATGAGACGAGAGTAAAGTTCCCAGGTTGACCAGATGACAAATGATAATATAAAGAACAAGATCTAAGGTCTAAGGCAGTTCAAGATTCTGAAATCCTGATGAGCTGGAAGCAAATTTGGTGGGAAAGTTGGGATAACCAAGTAGGAGGAAACAAAAAACAGACAATATGATTTGAACCAAGAAAATGATTTAACAAGTTATAAGAGGAATTTCCAATAAAGCATGTCCTCCAAAGCCTAGATGCATTCATCTAGGCATTATCATCACAAAAACGCATCAATGACTTCACTGAAAAGGACAGGAGACAACACATACAACTTGAAACACAGAACTTCAGAGGACAACATACAATACAATCTGACTGCCTTGATTATATTTTGGAGACAGTGTAAAATGGTAATTTAATTAAAATACGGAACAATAGATAAATAACCTCATTATTATTATTGCCATTTGTACTAGAAACCAAGAATATTTATATTACACACAGCTATAGCTTATCAAGTTTAATGAAGCTTGAAAGTTTCAACAACCATTGATAATATTAGAAATAGTTTACCTGCAAAGCAGCCTTAAGCAGCATATGAAGAAAAAACAAAAACTGTAAACACCATTGGCAACAGCAGTGACCATAATTCATGGCAACAAGTTATTGCTTCCAAGGCCAATTAAAAGATAATTGCCTATAACTGACATCCTTCACCAAGCACCGCAGTTCTGTAACAGTTAAAAATCCCTCAACTACTGCCCATTCCTGAAACTAGGCCTATTGAGCTCCAAAGTAAAATTTTAACATCAATGTTAATTCTCAAGTTCTTTCCTCCCCTTCCCTGCCTGTAGTTACCTCATTTCTGCCTCCAAATAGCACATCAGCACCACCCTAAAACCCATCATTGTGCCTGTTTAATGTCAGTTACAGCAATTCTAATGCTTCCCACCAGCTCCTGCAGGAATGGCAGGATGCAGCGACAAAAACATTTTCAGCATCCCAAAATGTTACCTATTCCCATTAATACTGGCTCCTACTAAGGCTACCTAAATTATAATCTTAACATGTTTGCATTCCTGAATTTATTTACTCATTAGATTTAATTTACATTAGGCTTTTTTTTTTTAATTTATGCCACCTGAACAGATAAAGAATGTATTTGAATGAGAGGAAGAAGCATTGCATTACCTTTAAACTGGTATCTAATCCCTTTCAAAAGTACCTGCAGTATTAGCTCACTACCGGAGAGTTCAGTGGAAATATTTTTAACTTCTAGCATTATACCTGCAAAACCAACACTGATCTAGAGCTTCTGAAACATCCAAACAACAGAAATCATTCCCCCCACAACATGAATTATCTACGTTTTTCTCAACTAGCAAAAATAAGAATTATTGCACATACAAGTCTTCCCAAACCAGCAATTGAACATTATTACTTCCATGCTTGTGTACAGTTGAACACCGCACATCAAACAGCCTTTACAAAAGTCTACTTTTGCCCTTTGTAAGCAACAGCAGCTGCCACACTACCTCAAAGTGCTGCACTCAGAATTGGCACAGTCCAGAAAGTGACACTATGACTGTAGCACTGTGCAATGTATATACCTCTTCTACAGACACACAGGACGGAAAGACAGCAATTTTTACAACTATACTGAATCCAAGATGTAATAGGAATTAAGAGTTCTAATGAAATTTTAGAGTCCCAGCATTCAAATAAACTCTACTGTTCTACTTATGTTTCAGTCAAAACTATACAGAATATTCTGTTCTGTAATACAAAATCAGTATCTGCAATCCAACCCTATGCTCAATGATGTGCAAAGTCTATTTCTCTGCACTAGAGATACCATCCCTCACAGTTCTGATGCAGAGAGGCACCACCGGGGAGAGATGCTAGAGATACAAAATGTGTGTTCAGTCTGCATTTTACATTCTCTCAAGTACCTTTTGTTGAATAGTGGAGTGCTTTTGCTCCATATCTCTCTTCTCCTTTGCAGCATCTACAGCCAACTGATCCAGCTGTAAAGAGAAACAGAAAATTGGATCTTTAGATATCAAGAGAAATTTGGCTCAGTAGATTTCATAACACTGACAAAAAACCAACACAATGTCTAGACATTGCATGACTTTTGTTTTATTTGCATAGTATAATTACTTCTCTGGTCACAAAGTGTTTACCTTCAATAACCACTGAAGCCTCGTTTAAAGCACTGCACTACCATCCTGAATTAACCTCTAGGAAAGGTGTACATTTCTTGTAAGCCTTAGAAGAAGTGTTTCAAAGAACAGCATGGTGCCAAGCATATGCGACTCTGTACTGCAGTAGTGCTCAGTCTCCAAAGAGAATGACTCATGCTGTAGCTGCTCTTGCTGGCTGACTGGCCTATGCAGCAGCACTGGCACTATCAGCCAAAACTCGAAGGAGCAAACGCTGGTGAATTTACCCCCTACACAAAGGTGGAGAACTGCCTCAACCAGACTTCTGTACTGCAACTTGCTGCAAGCATGTCTATAGCACTACCATATAAACTTTTTCATCTTAAGAACAGAAGGAAAAAAGGCAGGAAATTTCAGATATCCTGTAAGGAGTAAGTTTATTGTGGTTTATTGGGGTTTTTTTGGTTTGTTTGTTGATTGGTGGGGGTTTTTTTTCAAATTATTTTTTATTTTTTACATATTTTGATGTTTAACTAAGAAATATGCTGAAGTGGAGGAACAGATGCTGCCTGATAGATTAGTTAGCATGCTACTTCCTGGGAAGTAATCTTTCCCCCATACTCAGCTTGGGTGAGACTGCACTTTGAATACTGTGTCCAGTTTTCGGCCCCTCATTACAAGAAGGACATGGAGGCACCGGAGTGTGTCCAGAGAAGGGCAATTAAGCTGGTGAAGGGGCCAGAGAAGAAGTCTTATGAGGAGCAGCTGAGGGAATTGGGGTTGTCTAGCCTAGAGAAGAGGAGGCTGAGGGGAGACCTGATCACTGTCTACAACTGTATTGGGTTTGCATGGCAAGGTTT